TGGCCTATTTGCAACTTTTTGAGAAAGCACCATACCTCCTTCCACAGGGGTTGCACCATTTTACACTTCCACCAACAGTGAATAAGGGTCCCAGTTTCTCCACAACCTCACCAGCATTTGTTGCTTGCTGTTCTGTTAAATTTTGCTATTCTGACTGGGGTGAGGTGATATCTCATAGTTGTTTTGATTTGCATCTCTCTTAGAGTTAGGGCTTTTGGACATTTCTTCATGTGTTTGTTGGCCATCTGAATGTCTTCTTTGGTGAAGTGTTTGTTCATATCCTGTGCCCATTTTTCAGTTTACCTTTAGCTTGTTGTGGTGAGTCTTTATGGGTGCAGATTGCTAGACCTGTTCTCCCGCGCAGCTCCAGGTGCATTCGTAGCTCCAGCCTTTTGGTTCATAGCTGAGGGCTTAGTCTCTACATCTGCAGGGTGTCTTTTTTTTTTCTGCAGGGTGTCTTAATAACGCATATCAAACCACAGAACACACTGTCATCCGTCAGTCTGACTCATGGCACCTCCACAGGACAGAGTAGACACAGCTGCACTGAGTCTCCAGGAAAGTGAATCTTTTTTTCTTTTTTCTTTCAGTGTGAATCTTTACAGAAGCAAACCTCTCCCTCTGTGGCTTGTGGCCGTGAACCACTGACCTTTCAGTTAGTAGCCCAACACTTAACCCCTCGTGCCACCACAAATGGGGGTAGAGGAGGTGTGGTCAGTCTGAGCACCTGGAGGTCTTGGGTAAGACTGGAAGGACCTCAGGACAAGCACAGTGGTTGATTAGTCATTAAGGCAAATAAAAACCCTGTTTTGTTTGCTCAGTGTCACTACATGGTGACTTTGGCAGCCTCTGTCCTCCAGTGGCTGAAGCTGTAGGTCCCACTTCTGTCTTGAGGCTTCCACCCAGCCCCCAAGTAGTTGTCTGAGCTCCTAGCATTCACTCGTCATTTACATGACAAAATAGTTTGTGTGTGTGTTGGGAGGGGACAGGTTTATCATCCATATGCTAACAGGCCTGGCAGTGGAGAACAGTATTCCAGAAACCTGGGGAACTTTCCACTAGGCTGAGTCTGTGTTGATGTAGTCATGGGGCCAAGGTGCACTGTGTGAATTCTTAGCACCCCAGGAGCAGTCTGCAGAACAACACCCTAATAGTCTAGTCAAAAGGGCCCACAGGGAGCGAAGAAATGATGACATCTTTTTTTATTTCTCAAAAGAAATTGTATCCCTTGTGTCCCAGTTTTCTACTGCTGCTGTAAGAGAAATACCACAAGGAGGTGGCTTTCACAAATAAATTTACTTTCTCACAAATCTGGAGGTTAGAGTCTGAATTCAGGATGCCGGCTGTAGAGGAAGGCTTTCTCTATCAGTTCTGCGGAGGGGCCTTTGCCTCTTCTGCTTGTTTCCAGGTTCCTTTGAGATCTCCATGTGTATTGGCATCAGGTTTACCCCACCAGTGCTCTGCTTGCTTGTCTGATCTCTTTTCTGTGTCAGAAAGAAATGGACTAAAGATCCACTCTGTGTTAATCCTATAATTAACATAACAAAGACAATTCCTAAATGGGGCTGTAACCAGAGGCAGACATTAAAAAAAAACCCCAAACTCACTGTGCTTGAATGAATGGGAACTGACTCCTAGCTGGCTCTTCTTTGAGTTTCTGAGACCCTAAGTCATGCAGGACAAGTGAGGCAGGACAAGTGAGGCCATTGGTCTTTCGTGGTGTGGCTGGTGGATTCGAACCAGCAGAGAGGGGTGGCCCTTGGATTGGGAGCACAACTCGCTGCAGACTAGGCCACTAGAGAGGTTTGGGTGTACAGCACTTAGGACACAATCCTTAACACCTTGGCAGCCAGCAAATGCTCTCCCTTTTGCACCTCCTATTACTATTCCTTCTTTGAGGTTAGGGAGCTGTGGTGGTGCTGTGTGTTAAGTAGTGCTGGTAACTGAACGAGGGTCGTTTGCACCTGCCAGCCACTCCGGGGGTAGAAGGCTGTGACAGCCTGCCCCTATGAGGACCTGCTTCGAAGCCCTGTGGGACAGTGCTCCTTTCTTGTAGGGTCCCTGGGGGTTGAAATCATCTCCACAGCAGTGTGTTTTGGTTTTGTAGGATCACTGTAAGGGAGCCCTGGAGGTGGAGCCCCAGTGAAATGTACCAGCTACTAAATGGAAGGTTCAGATCCACCAACCGCTCCACAGCGAAAGCTAGATTCATGACCTCGGAAATTGGGATTTGGGATTTTTTAAGGTCACTGTGAATCAGAATCAACTCAACTGGCAACTGGTTTGGCTTTTGGTTTGGTTTGTGGGGTGAGGGGGCAGGTGGTTGTTTGGTGCCGTCAAGTCAGGTAGGACTCATAGCGACCCTGTGAATGGCAGATCTGAACCCTGTGCTGTCTGTCCTGTGCCATCCTCACACTTCCTGACACACTCGTGTCCACTGCTGCAGTCACTGTGTCAGTCGGCCTGACTGAGGGTCTCCCTCTCCTTTGCGACCACCCCACCCTCCCAAGCATGACGACTCTCTCCAACGAATAACCTCTCCTAACAACATGCCCAAGGCATGTGAGATGAAGCTTTAGCATCTCTGCCTCCGAGAGGCACTCTGGCTGTACCCCCTCTAAGACAGGTCTGTTCCTCAGGTAGTCCATGGATATCCAGCACTCCTCTCCAACACCGTATCTCAAAGTACGGAATGAGGGTTGCAGAGTGGATTATATTTGGGGTTGGGGGTGTGGTTGGGGGGGTGTGCGGGGGGAGGGGGATTGTGTACCAGTGAGGGAGTTTTTCTTTTGCTTTTCAAGGAGAGGAGTAAACAAGGGGGGTGGGGGAGAGGGGGTGGGCGGGGAGAAGGGTGCAACAATGAATGAATGGAATTCCAAAATCTCTGTAGATGTTCATTGAAATGATTAATTAATTAATTAATTAAAAGGGAGCCGTGGGGATGGCTTAACAAGGGGGGTGGTCAGACAGTGTGGGCTTTAGAATAGGAGCAATTGAGAGAAGATTTTTGTGCTTGGGGACAGCCCTCCGGGGACTGCTAGTGCTGGAGGTGGTGTCCCCTAATAGTGCTACACGTGTGTAAGTTAGAATTCCTTCCTGGGCTATGAGCCAGTGCAGGTCAATCTGTGTATGTCAGTGGGATAGTCAGGTAGGCTGGATATTAAGACTCCTGAAGCTATGTGCTCCATAGGTCCTTTCAGCTGGACCCTAAGGGTTCTGCTGCCTGCCGTGTGACTTGTCATGGATCTTGTACATGTTGGTATCCCTGGCCCTCGGTATGCGTTTTAACCTTCCTGTAGCAAGTATATAAATTCTCTGGTGTCTCGTACGTGCCATGCTCGCTGGCCCGTGGTAAGGATTTCATATATATTTGATAGAGTCATCTGTGGCTTGGATCAGCCTTAGCTTTCTGACCTGCTTGCTTTCTCTCTTTCCTTCCACAGATCTTCAATCTCATGAAGTATGACAGCTACAGCCGCTTCTTAAAGTCTGACTTATTTTTAAAACACAAGCGAACTGAGGAAGAGGAGGAAGAGGAGCCGCCCGACGCCCAGAGCTCTGCGAAGCGAGCTTCGAGAATTTACAACACATGATCCTCCGGGGCCGGGCCGCTGTTGGAAGGAATGACAGGCTTGAAGTTGAGCTGAGACCCCGCTGGGTTCATAGTTGCTCTGTTAATCACAAGGACGGAAATGTACAGCCCCTTTCCATGGGATACATGTATTTGATTAACTGCTTGGCCAGTCTGATTTGCATGATGGCTAATCTTACATAAAGAACCCAAATAGCTTTGATGTTTCCATTCACACACATACACATGAAAATGGGGGTGGAAAGATTCCTTGCACACTGGACACTTTCTGCACCTTGTAGCTTAATTAAATGTCCTGGGAGGCCACCAGTGAAACACAGATGTCCTTGATCGTGTAAGTCATTGTTGTCTGGGGCGAGGGGGCCAGCCAGCCCTCACAGTCATGCTGCAGATTAGTTCAGGAGGAAGTGGAGCTGATGTTCACCAGGCAAGGACCCAGACTGCACGATTTTTTGTTTACTATCATGCTGGGCAGAGTGGAGGGACAGCACAGGAGGGGAAAACCCTCTATGAGATGGATTGATTCAGTGACTGGGGTAATCGGGATGGGTGTGTCAGAGGCAATGAGATTGGCACAGGATAGAGCGGGGTTTAGGGCTGTTGTACATAGGGTCGCTATGAGTCACAAACGACTTGATGGCACATAACAACAACTACTCTATAGCAAATTCATCCTCCCTGACTAGGCATCATACCTGGGCTACAGTGGTTCAAACACTGAATCTTAACCACTAGATCACCAGAGAGCATCATTCAATCCTGGGAGGTGGAAATGACTCACTGATCGCCCCCAAAGACGTGAGGACTCTGTGTGAGCACACAAAGTGCTTGAGCTGTGCCTGGTTTTGCCCACAGTCCTTGGTATATCATGCAACTCAGAGAAACACTTCATTTTGACAGGAACAGGATCTCAAACAGGAAGAAGACCAGACAAATGGGTGGTTGTTCAGGGTTTCCATGGCAACGTTAGGTGGTGGTAAAGGGGAGAGTGGCTCCAGGGAGGTGCTGGAGAAGAGCCATTCGGTAGTGGGATGGCTGTTCCCGTTCTCTCCCCACCTCTGCCCTCTGCAAGACTTGTTCCCTCTGGCTGGAGGCTTTTCCAGGGAGAAGTGCTGCCTTTATAACTCTGCTCTCTGGGTGGAGGAGGCGTGTAAACAGCCCTGCGGGTCTCAGGCCACCCAGGAAACCCTCAGAGTTGGGGCTTGAGCCTGGAGTCCCGCTGCTGCAGGACCCAGCGCTGCCGTGGCCTGCCCACCTCTCTGCAAGCAGTCCTGGTTGACAAACAAAGCAAGGGACCTCAATCTGTTATTTGTGAGCCTTTGAACCCAACTGTCTTCCCTTAAATGCACACTGTGGAGTCCATAATTCTGCTACCGAAGCAGGGCACTTAGCAGAGGAATGGGCTGAGTTCATTACGTTGGATCCACACGCCCACGCTGGCTCAGCTCTGGGCCAACCAGCTGATAGTCACGATAATGCCCTCGCTTAGTGAGGCCTCTTGTGCGTCCTCGACGTGTAGCTCCTCTGCTCACTGTCCCTCACCTCCTGTGTCGTGGGCAGGAGGAAGGGGGAGGCTTTGGGAAGCCATTCACTGCTGAGATCTGTCACTTGGCTGACACAGCAAAGCTACCCCCAACAGTGGGTTCCCCATCCTCCAACACTCCCTGCAGACCTGCCCCTGTGTCTGCCCTGCCCATCATGTGTGAGAATGCCACCCCCCCCCCCCCCCCCCCCCCCGCCATCTGCCCTTTCCTGAACAGGGTGCAGATGCATGGAACAGCAACACGGATTCTCTAGCTTGGCTTTCACTCTGTAAACTGGGAAAGGGTAGACAAGAAGGCCTGTCCACTGAGATGGGGGTCATTTAGGGGTACTGTAAGCCAGTGTTCCTCTGGAGAGCTGAACTGGGCAGGTCCTGAGCCAGAGGCAGGCAGGGTTCCCTCTTACCCTTTGACACTAGGTTCAGAGGCCCTTTTGGGGTGGCAATGGCCTCTAAGCCCTCACGTCAGGTAAATGGCCAGCATTGCAAAGGGGATTGTCCACTCAAAGAAAAAGCCGCCCTTTGGTCCCTTCGGAGCTGCCTGAGAATGGAGGGGGTCGGCTCTGGGCCTGAGCCGCGTGATCTCAACCACAGCTGAGTCCTATCAGCACACACTCACACCACTTCCTCCCCGGCTGTCTCCACCTCCCCACCCCCATCACAGAATGAGGCAGACATAATCCAGTTCCCGGACCCAGGGCAGAAGTGAGACCACAGTGCCGGGCATCCTCTGGACAGATAGAAGCTTCTAGCTAGCCTGTCACTCGACTCTGAGTGTCCATCCATCCAGGGCAGGGACCCAAGAAGCAAGAATAACCCAACAAAAACCCAAACCTATGCTTGTGTGGTGGGGTCTGAGGCGAGACACGAACCCCTGGCTCCTGGCCTGGCCCTTTTTCTGTCCATCTGCTGCCTGGGCAGGGCCCCATGGAGCCTAGGACTGGAGGACACCGGCCTTTGGACACGCACAGTGCTTTCCTCACACGATAGATGGTGAGCACTTGTCACTTCCCAGAACAAATGCCAGAAACGGGCGGGAATGAAGGCTCAGAAAAGGCATCGGCCCTGCCCTTGGAGCCCCCAGTCCTTGAGGGGCCTGTGGGACCCAGTCCGGCTGTGGCCATCTGAGTTCACATGCTGTTTGTTTTCTGTCCCCAGATCCTGGGATGTCACGCTTCATGTTCGCCGAGGGGTCCTCTGAGGCTCCTGAGCTGCTTATTTCAGTCTCAGATGTCTGAGCCATTAATGCCGCCATAATAGAAATACCACAAGGGGGTGGCTTTTACAAACAAACGTATTTCCCTTACAGTTTAGAGGCTAGAACTTCTGCTCTTCAAGTCCTTGAGGATCCTGTGCCGTCTTCCCCTCTGTACTTCTTTCTCTGGGCCTTATCTGCGCTCTTCATACCTCAGGAGTGATTGGTTTAAAACACGCCTCCCAATGGTAGAGTCTCTTAAAGCGCTACTCCCAAATGGGGTGTCATCTCCAGGTACATGAGTTTAGGATTTACAACACATACTTTGAGGGGCAGGAGTCTGCTGAGTTGCCCGTTATGGTTTGGGGACCAGGACATATGCCCTTTTATGTGCTGTGGAGTCCGAGAAGACTGGCCCGGCTGGCCCCCCAGCTCCGGCTCTGGATTTGGGAGAATGTTTACGAGACTTGCCAACCAGGAGGGGAGCTGGAGGATGACTCATACCCTTTATTTACTTTCATTTTGGCTGTGATGCTTCAAAGCTTGCATTTATTTAAATGTTAAATGGTGTGCAGGGCTTGTGAGCGTCTTTTCTCCACAGGCTTAGCTGTGTGCACTGCGGGGCACGCTGTCAAGGGGCTGGTGCCGGCCATGGGAGGAGGAAACCTCACAGCTGGAGAGGGGCTGGCATCAGTGGGGTGGAATGATCTCGAAAGCTAGCCAAGGCCATGGTTGCTCTAGATGATTTATGTGTCCGTCTTTGGGAGTGGCTGAGTTAGGCCTGCACTGGGGGCCTCGCTAGGGGGTGCACCTCTCTCTCACTGGGCCTCTGCTAATGCAAGGCTGCATCATCCTGAAGAAAGAGGAGGTAACCTTTAAGTTTGGAGAGTGGAGAAAGTTTTCCCTCTGCTCCCCAGTATACCTCTGGGGTGATGGGGTACCTTTTAGCCATCCATCCATCCATCCATCCAAATCTCTGGATAGGTGGAGCTCAAAGTGGCCTGATCTTCCTACACCCCTACCTTTCACATGCTGCAAACAGTTCACATGCTTGTCTCCTAACTAAAAGGCTGGTGGTTCAGGTCCACCCAGACACCCACAGGCAGGAGGAAGCAAGGCTTGGCTATCTCCATGGGCAGAATCAGACATTTAACACCCTAGAGAGCACACCTCTGCTGGTCCTCCAGACACCAGGAGCTGGAGTTGATTGATGGAGGCAGGAGTTGCTGGAATCACTGTTGACCATCTCACACAGGGATGCTGGGTGCGGTGTTGGTGGCACTGACAGCCCAACTGGTCCCCACTGCTCACAGCTGATGGAGCCAAGAGGATGACCAGACCTCCACGTCCTGAACGTCTGGCCTGGTCCAGATTTTAGACTGTGACTGGTACATCTGGAAAATGTGACTCTGTCTCAGGGCTGCCGCTCACCATTCTCTACCCACCCTCCCTCCTCTGCTGGGCAAGCCATGGGGCTGCTCCAGACTGGGGGGCAGGAGGACCAAACACCGCTTTCAAGGCCAGTTCCCAGCACCCCCTCCCCAGGAAGATGAATGCGGCCCTTTGCTAGCTCCAGCACAGTTTACATGCTGTTTTGCAGCGTGGGCAAGCTGTGTTCTTCTTATTTAAGCATTTAAATCCGTTTTTAAAACTGTTATGGCATACGCATCGCCTAAGAGTAACAGATGTCAGGCCGACAGGGACGTTTCCCAGGCAAGGAATGCGCTGTTACTGTTCCCGGCCTCCGGAGAAGGCTGCCTTTCAAGTCCACACGCAGCCCCTCTCCGGTGCAGGAAGGATGGGAAAGAAAGACTGTGGGCTGTGTGGTAAATATTTATGTTGACAGGTCCCAGCTGACGCAGGAGCTCGGGCCCAGCTCCCAGAAGGGGGCACCCTTCCCTGAAGGGAGGCACTCCGACGTTTTCCCAGGTGGTGAGGTCATTCGTGGCCCGTAGACATGAAAATTTGGGTCTGTCGTTACTAAATGTGCATCATCCATGGATTATTCCGTGAAGCTTGGCTGCTAAGAGGCTGGTGGTTTGAGTACCATCCAGAGGTGCTGTGAGAGGTACTGTGGCAGAAAGGCCTGGCGATCTGTTCCTAAAACACCATACAGAACCGCAAACCATGCCCGATGCTGCGGAGTTGATCTCCATCCGTGATGACTGTGTGCCTCACAGAGGTTTTCACTGACTGGGGGTTTTGTGTGGTTTGTTTATTTTTAATAGCCAGGCCTTTCTTCTAAGGGACCTCTGAGGTGGACTTG